GTGTAAAATCACTTGACACTCGTAAGGATTATTTTAAGATGGTACATCCTGGCACAGATCGGTTCGTGGTCGAGCTGTGTCGAAATAAGCACACGAACGAAGGAAAACGCGCGAGTAGGGGGAAAAGGACAGTGTCCTAGACAATGAGCTACAGCTACAATCCCGGAAAAAAATTAGTTGGGACACTCAAGCTGGATCACGTTCCCCCATTCCCCCTAAACAACGTTAGAAAATGTCGCATTTTTTCCAACAAAAAGGGAAAAAATGACCTGATTATCAACACTGTAGATGGGGGGAGGGGAGAACTTGTTTGGTGTCCCAAGTTTTTTGTTCGGGATTGTAATCATCTCTTACTTTGTCCACTCTCACACACGCGTGGCGATTTTCGCGAAGTTCCCGCAGCGTGGAAAACGCGCGCGCAATCTACAATAATGAACGAAAAGAAAAGCAAGGAAGAAAGGCGGTTCTTATCAACACCAAACCTTTAACAAATCTCAACGAGCTAATATCTTACGAAAAAGCATATCATCTTATGACTGTAAATTTATTCAGTCTGCAACGCAAGTACATACCAACACGTTATCATCTCTTTCAAGCGCGTTACAGCACGCATAAATCACTGTTGACCCTTCTCAGGGTGTGGCAAATCGGCATGCATCACGTACCAATGAAACAAGTTTAAAATATGAACCTAAAATACCTAAATTTGTCTTCTTCGTCATTGGCTGAGCATAAGCGTAACTACCTAGACATTACATCACCGCGCTTTTTGCCTTCCGCTTTTACCAAGGGAGTAATTGTATTAATCCATTCTTTTTTTTAAGAAACAACAACAGCAGCAACAACATTAATTGAGACTTCTTTTAGAGGATACAAGATCTCAAGTTCTTTACACTGCTATTCCAACTATGTTGTCATTTTACATGTAAACAACCAAACTTGTGAATTTGCGTCTTTTGTGCGCTCTTCACCTACCCTGTTGTTTCATAAAAAAAAACTTTTGACTTTCTCTCTTCACAGAATTTTCCTGTTGTTTCGACTGAGTTGTAATTTGAAACAACCAACATTGTGATATCTTACGCTAAACAATTTTCTACTCGCTACAACTACGCTGTCATGTTAAAAGAACTGACAAAATTCTCTTTTCCCTGCCAATATAGTTTTTCACGTTTGTTTTACTTGCGCGCAATGCAGTCAGGTTACTGAAAATCGCGGTATTTCTAGTGCTTAAAAAACAAAGTTAAAAATAACGCCATTGCAGGTCACGCTGTACACATAGCTTTATGCAATCCAACTAAGGAACCAATGAGATCACGCGCTACATGGCTAAAATTTTACAGAAGCTTCCAGGGTCTGTGAACAGATTTTCTCTTTCGGAACTATTCTTCTTAACTGATGGTTATGATCTTTATCTAATTTTATCACTCATAACTTTTGCCACTTATTTTCGAAACATTAATCAAGGTGGCTCTGAAACCCAAGTACAGAATTTTGTTAAACTAAAAGTTGTATCTTATCTTGCTTATCAAAATTCGATGATAAAAATGGGTTTCACGGTGCCGTTGTTGAAATATAGTTACTAAAAGTTAAATTTAGGTTGTTTTTAGTAGTTCATACTGTTGCTATGGTAACCTATTGTGTCATGAAAATGATAACAAAGTGTTCACCAATGATTTGGCAACTTTTTAATACCATGATTGCAGCATCAAGTGATAAAGGGTGGCTATAATGACCAATCAAAATCTAAGTCTTGGAAAGTGTTGGAAACTGTTTTGAGCTACCTTAGTTGATCCATAACGAAACAATGTGCCGCCCATAGATTTCCACAGAACTTGTTTTTCTTCCTTACAGATGTGAACGAGTGTCAGAACAACCCATGCCAACACACGTGTACGAACACGTTCGGTAGTTTCACATGCAGCTGTTATTCCTGCTACACCAAAGTCGGATACAACTGTGACCTGAGGCAGTGTAAAATCAGCAATCGGTGTTACTCATATGGTACAGTGAATCCCAGCAATCAGTGTCAGGTCAGATACATGTATACATACATAGTTTATTTAATTAAGCAGGTTACAAAATCGGCAAGACTAAAGTCCCGATGTGGAGCGGCACTAACTAGATGTAAAATACATTAATTACTTACTGATGTAATATGAGAATGTCTTACATAAATGAAACAGGGAAATTAGCCTCAAGAGTTGTTAAAGTCCATTGAAGTAAAAGAAATGCTACAGGAGGCTTTCTCAAAACTTATAGAAAGTTTCTTTTCCCTAATTAACTTCTTAAAATGACTAAGACTGGGAGAGTATTTAAAGGAAATGGGAAGGAGGCTCCAGCAGAGGGCAGCTTTGTGCTTAAAAGATGATCTGTCGATCTCTGTTCTTGGTCTGGGAACCTCAATGGTTGCAGTCCTGCTAGATGAGAGCAAATAGGTTAGATTAAAGTAGCCTCTGTCAGGCGTTCAGTTCGTTGGGGCGCAGCGCGAAAAACAGCGCGAGAAAAAAATAAAAAAGCGCGGCGAGAGGAATCTCGCCGCGCTTTTTTTATTTTTTCGCGCGCGGTTTTTCGCGCTTCGCCCCAACTAACTGAACGCCTGAAAGTAAAGGAGCCCGGGAGTTAAAAGGGAGGGAACCGTGTAAGAGGCGGTAAACAAGAGAGGAGAAAAGCGGGATTCCTTAGCAGCCAAGAGAAATAAGAAAACATTTCGTAGCATTGCGTAAAAGAATAAAAAACTGTTGGGGGGTGGCGCATAGCAGAGGACAATATCAGAGAATGAGTGATATGCTGTTCTCAAAAAATAACTTTCCCTGCATAAAGATATATTGCTATTCAACAGGATTGTAACAGCACCAGCAAGCTAGCCTGGAGAAACAACAACGCTTTGTCGTGCAGTGATAATAAGGCGTGCACTAAAAATGACCGGTGTTCAAATGGTGTCTGTTCTGGAACGCCATTCACGTGCCTTCCGTGTGAAGAGTGTTACAATGACGCATGCCGCGTGAAACCAGGATACTGTGTGATCAACGATGGTGGAACACGAAAATGTTTTAACCATGGAGACATCCGACCCGGATATCCTTGCCAGGTAAAATAGTGAACAACTATTGCATACGCAATACTGATCAGCTAATAATTTCTCAATATGTTGATATATCGACTTTGAGAAGGAAGGTAATGAGATTGAAGAACCTGATTATCGGAAGAGGTAAGTTTTGTTTAGACAATGTAGGAAGGACTATTCGGAGGATTTAGTTTTCCACGCTTGGTTTTATAACAAAATCAGTCACAGAGGTAGACAACCTGTTTAGTAGTTTTGGTGTTCAATGAGAAACACAAGCAAAAGTCAGCTTCGCAGACTTTGCAGAAAACAACACAATAAGCAGTATTAATTGAACGTATTTCTCAGTAGCTTTGAATGGTCAGGAACTACTAGGGTTTTATCCAGGAACTTACGACGGCAACAGTCCTTAGCACTTTCTAGTAATTATACTACTATCAAATGATTTTACAATATTGATGTCACACAAATGTGCAATCATTGTTAAAGAAATGTGGTTATCTTCATGGCATATGCTTCCGCAGCAACGATACAACCAATCAAAAACACCCTTGATTTGGCATTTAATTGCTTATAACTCAAACACGGCTCTGTGAAACACATTTTTATATCGAATTGTGATAACCATGAAAACAATTTTTTGCAGAGTTTCAAAAGAAGTCAGTCAAGACGGTTCAGAGCCATCTCAAATTTTGAAAATTTAAGGGGACTCTGATCTGAACCCAGCACGACACGATTAATAGTCTTACAATCCTCCTAAAACACAAACCAACCGGGTGATCTGAAATGGAGTTTAATGTAATATTAGTCACGATGGTTTATTTGTTTAGCAATGTGACAGCAACCGCAACAATCAGTGGACCAACAACAACAATCTCCAGTGCAGTGACAACAACTTGAAGACCAAAAATGATCGGTGCTCCAGCGGCACGTGTGTGGGAACGCCCTACAACTGCCTTTCATGCGAAACACACGACGGTAGTGGCTGTCCAATCAAATCCGGATATTGCATTATACAACATGGTGGCCAAAGAACATGTTATGCTAAGAATCATTACAAGCCAGGGAATCCTTGTCAGGTAAGAGTATAATCAAGAGTGCTCCGTTTTTAACGAAGAGTTTCTGATTATCCGCTCATAATATATCGCGACTACTGTACGGAATGTTATGAATATTTTACTATTTCCTAGCAGTTTTTAATCTGGCAGAAACGGCACCGTAGACATATTTCTGAGATTGTCGAAAACGACAGCGAAATACCGTAAACTGCCGCTTATAAGCTCCCCCCGGTAAATAGGCCCATCTACCTTTGACCAAAAAACACCTCCGGTTATAAGTCCCCCCTCTTGATATAAGCTCTCCTCTAGCTTTCCTTGTTTTAATTTCGTTTTATCATGATGTTTTAAAGCTTATATTACCAGTAAATGAAATACCTATTTCGATGAACATGTGCAGCTACAGCTCTTTTCGAAAGAGTTTTTTTTTATTCCGGTTATAAGCCCCCTCGGATAAAAGCCGCTCCCTCACGAAGTTGTATAAACCCAGGGCTTATAAGCAAAAGATTACGGTATTCAGTTGGTGAGAAGCTCACCAGCGCAAGTACAGAGCAGTTGGAGCTACTTGAAAAAAAAAA